TATTTTAGATCTATTTTCTAAAGCAGATGCAAACAGGGACTATAGCAGACTTGAAACTGGGAACTGCATCCTGAGAGGTAGTACAATGTATTTAACCACCTCCGAAACGCCAGAGGTCTTGTTGGGGCTAATGATTTCAGAAAACAGGAAGCAGGGAGGCGGCACCATGAGGAGGAGGGAGCACCAGCCTGTGAGTAAGCAGAACAAGGTTCTAGCTCCACTTTTCTCCTAACCAGTTGTCTGACCCTAAACCAGTCAGTTCAGTTCTCTGGGCCTCTTATTTTTTCAGTCGATAAAGTAGGTCAGTCAACAAACATTTATTAAGCGCCTACCATGTATCAGACACTGTGGAGATAATGAGAGAGTGGATTAGAAAATGAGAGGACTGGATTAGATGATCTCTAAATCAGTCAGTTAACAAACATTTATTAAGTACCTGTCGTGTCAGGCACTGTGCTAAGCAATAGGGATACCAAAGAAAGAGAGAGGTTTGGACTAGATGATCTCTGAGTCAGTTAATAAATATTTTTAAAGCACTTACTATGTGCCAGGCACTGCTCTATGCTGGGAAGATAAAGAAGAGTAAAGACATCATCCTTGACTTCCAGAACCTCAAATTCTAATGAGGGGAGAGGACATGCAAATAATTCTGGATATACAGAATATATACAGTGTAAATGGAGGGTACTCTCAGAGGTCCCTTTCAACTCTAACCCACTGCATCCTATCCCCCTAAGACAGGGTCAGTGCTAATGTTCAATTCAGTAACGTTTATTAAGCATTGAAAAGCACTGTGTTAGCTACTAGGCGATTTAGGAAGTTAAGATAAGACATGATCCTTTTTGTTGCTATTGTTGTTGAGTCCTGTCTGACTCTTCAAGACTGCATTTGGGGTCCCCTTGGCAAACATACTGGAGTGGTTTGCCATTTCCCTCTCCAGCTCATTTGCAGATTAAGAAACTGAGGCAAACAGGGTTAAGTGACTTGCCCAGAGTCACATAGCTAGTAAGTGTCTGAGGCTGGATTGGAACTCAGGTCTTCCTGATTCCCCTTAGGCTTATGCAATTTAGAGTGTGAGGTGGGGAAAAGTAAAACAGATAGCAATAAAAATGATAATTGCAGTAGACAGGTATGGAACAAAGTGTTATGTGAGGTTTGAGGAAGGAAAATCTACTAATGGGGCATCTGAGGTTTCAGGAAGGAGGTGACATTTGTGTTTAAGAATATAGAACGATAACATTCTATACTCTGTCCTAAGTCCACTTTCAGCTCTAAAACTCTTTGTTTTACATTCTAATTTCCCTTTCAGCATCCAGATTCATAATTCATTATTCCTGAGTCTATGCTTGAGGTCCATGCATGTGCATAAAGCATGATGCCTTCTTCCTCTTTACCAAATTAAGCCAGAATAGAGGTAGTATGTAATAACGGAAGGTATACTAGGCTAGGTGTCAAAGGTCTTTGGTTTTTGCTCTGAAGTCACCCCTCATTGACTAGGCCATTTTATTTTAGGTTCAGTTATTTTGACTCCAATTTCTTTATTTAGAAGACGAGGAGGTTGGTGTTGAAGATGTCTGAGGTACTTTTTATCTTTAACATTCTATAATTCTACCATTGTGAATTCTGAAATCTGGAGGGGAATGTTCCATGTAGACTCTTGTAGGCTTGCTCCCCATCTCCAAAATGTCCAGAGGTGAACTAAACCTGATATTATCCGCATGTTTCTGTGACCTTCAGAAAGTTCAATAAAATGCACAGGAGAGGGGCGGCTAGGTGGTGCAGTGGATAGAGCACCGGCCCTGAAGTCAGGAGGACCTGAGTTCAAATCTGACCTCAGACCAAACACTTAACACTTACTAGCTGTGTGACCCTGGGCAAGTCACTTAACCCCAATTGCTCCCCCCAAAAAAAGTTTAAAAAAATGCACAGGAGACAGTGTTGTTCTATTTATTGAAAAAGCAATTTTTAGGGGAACATATTATCCATTTTCTACATTTAGGCCCTGCCTGGATCTTACTTAATCATGTTTCCAACAATTTCTATCATACTTTCTGGCTTACAAAGAACTTTCTTTACCACCATCCTGTGTGATAGCTAGGGCAAGCATTGTTATTCTAATTTTACAGATGAGGCAACTGAGGCTAGGAGAAGATAAATCATTTGATAGAGTTTATAAACCTAGGGAATTGGGTTTGTAGTAACTGTACTACGGTTAGGTATTATAGTAACTGAGGGACAGTTACTACAGGTATAGTGTTCTATCTGCTGTATCAAATTGCTTATCTCTAATCATTCCAATAGGGGAATGATTATTTTCCCTTACAAATGTCATTATTGGTGTGAATGGTTTAGCAGTCTAATTTCAATTGCCATTGTTGGTGGAGTAAAACTGTGTCTTTGGAAGGCCTTCACTAAAGATGAAGTTCAATTTCTTGGTCTGAGCTGCTAATTCAGGGGCTGCAGAACACCATTTGATCCAGTAGGTGGCATTACATGTCCATACATCACCTACCTGCCATTTTTACATTTATTCTTAAAACCATTAGTTTGGTTCCATTAAAGGAGGGAAAAAAATCACAGCTTTCCTTAACAGCAGCAACAATAAAAAGATAAAATGGTCCCAGATGAAATGAGGAGACTTTTTGTTGTTATTGTTGTTAATAAATCAATATGTACCTTTCTAGACTTTAAATGGGACCATAAGTTTATAGAGGGCTATATAATGATAAAAAATGATTGGGTACAAGTTTTTCTAAATAGAAGCACCAATTCTGACTCTTCTTTCTTTATCCAAAAGATTGGAAACCCTGTTTCTTTAGTGTTGGCGAAAATTACATTATTTGGTGGACTCTACAGACCTTATTTCAAAAGGAAAAAGCCTTGTATCAAATTCTTTGTCAGTGAAAGCTGAAAATACGTCTTCTGTCTCTGGGCCCAGTCAGTGTCTTTTAACAGGCTTTTGGATTGGGTCACTTTTGCATTTAGTCTGTGATGTTATGACTCCACACAAACATTTTGGAAGGGAGTATCAGTGTATATGGCTACAGCTGTTCAAGGAGTCCATTTTTTAATCGGTCTTTATCTCTACTTAACTTTCCAAACACATGATGTTGTAATGAAAACATACTACATTTGGAGCCAGCAGACCAGGAATCTGATCTTGATTCTACTACTTATTAGCTATATAACCTTTGGCAAGCCACTTTAATTCTCTGAGCCTCAGTTTCCTCATCTGAAAAATGGAAATAATTACTGTACAAACTTCCTCACAAGGTTGATGTGAGGCTTCGTCGAAATAATATCCATAAATACTTTGTAATTATAAAGCATCCCATAAATGCACATTTTTATTACTTCAATGCATCAAAAAATATACACTTTTTGTTGTTGTTGTTGTGGATAAAACTTTCTCCAGTGACCACAATCCCTCAGGTCCTTAGAAGATGGTCTTTGTGAGTTTCTATGGCTGAACAAATAAATTTATCCTCTGGTGTCCAACTTTATACTGATGACCCTTTCTGCACCTAGCTCCATTGGTTCTTGGACACAGCCCATTATAAGGCTCATATTCAAAACCTTTACTCTTTGCTACCACTTGTCAGAAGACCTTATCCTCCATTAGTATAACCTTGTAGAATCCAGGGTCACCTCCATGCCACAATGAGGTGTCAGAGGAAAACTTTAGGATAGGATTATTATCATTAATAATAATTAATATAATTTATAATTTACTATTTTATATATTTCAATATTATTAATTTCTTATTAATAATAAAACCATTGATTATTACTAATTCTACAACTATCCATTTCTTTTACCTTTAGAGGAGTTTTATAAATCAGAGTTTCCTGACTCACCATTAGTGAGTCATAGTTATAACCCACATTATTACACCATCTTTAGTTCTAGATTGGTGACTCATTTAAAAAAATCAGATTGTGGAGGGCCTTCAGCAACATGTGAAAGAGTTTTTATTTTATATTGGAAATAAGAGGTAATGATATCAATAATTATAAGAATAATAAAAATAACCATTGCTAATATTATCATTCTCATCTACCAGCTTTCTAGGAGTGATCCATCTGGCCCGTCTTCTATTTGTGATTTTTCAAAGTAGACTTTTCTAAGAAATTCATTAATTCATTCCTTAAACATGGATTTACCCAGGATATAACAAGTGCATACCTTATATTTGCTGATGGGAATATGAGGCAAATGTAAAACTCTGCCCCTGTCCTCTAAAAACTTAGGTAACAATATCTAGCATCAAATCATTGATGTTTAAGATAAGTGCAAAAGGATTTCTGGGAAGAGGGAGATCACTGTGGCCTGGAGTATTTAAGGAAGGCATCATGGAAGACATGGGAATCCTCCTGTTTCCATCCAGTTTCCATCCATCCATCCATCTATCCAGTCCAATTTCCTCCTTTTTCCTCCCATGAGATCAAATACATGGATTGATGGCTTTCATTAAAGCAGCTAGGTGGCATAGTGAATGGAGAGTTGTACTTGGAGTCAGGAAAATACTGAGCTCCAATTCTGCCTCAGATATTTACTAGCAGTATAATGCTGGGCAAGTCACTTAACCTCTGTCTAAGTCAGTTTCCTCATCTGTAAAATATAAATAATAATAGCACCTATACATGGTTGTTGTGAGGACCAAATAAATACATGTATCTATGTGTATACAATTATTAATTATGTGTGTATATATGTGTGTATAATACATACACACATATATGCATATCTATCTATACACACATATCTATACACAGTACACACATGTACACATATATATTATATATATATACATATAAAAATATATATATATTATCTATCCATCAGTCTATCAAGGGTGCTTTACAAATATTAAATCACTACATAAAGGTTAGCTATTATTATGAAAGGAAGAAAAGGAGGAGAAAGAAGAGGAAAATGAATGGAAGGAGTGCTTAAGAAAAAACATTGTATGTTAGATGAGAATTCGATTTCTGCTTACCTTCAGCAGTGATGTGGGGCCATGATCTATGGTGAAAAGGAGAACAGGTAAACATCCACTACATAGACTTTATGAACACATTGAATAAAATAAGTTTCATTCAGTTCAAGTTTACAAGTGTTTTTTAAGCATCTAGCATGAGCAAAGCAACATACTAGGTACTGGAGAGCAAATACATTCCCTTATAAAGTTTTGGCTCTAGAAGGGGGAGGAAGAGAACACATATATAAACGAACATAAAACAAAATACAACATGACATGTCTGTAAGAGTACTATGAACAAAGTGCTATCTTATGGCATGGTGAAAAGGGTACTAGAGTTGGAGTAGGGCCAATCCCAGCTGGGAACAGCTTTAGCTATCATCTAGTCTAACCCCTCATTTTACAGAGGAGGAAACTGAAGCCCAAAGAGGTCAAGTGACTTGAGTAAGGTCACAACAGCAGGCAAACAGAAGATTTGGGATAAAAAAGCCTGGATAGGAATCCTGCCCCTGCCACTTATTAACTGTGTGATGTTAGAGAAATCATTTCATTCTTTCAAGCCTCAGTTTCCCGAGAATAATGATACTTGTATAGAGGGGAAGCATGGAGCAGTGACTAGAGGGACTGGCGGTTCTAGCTGAAACCCTATCAAGTCACTTAGCCTTTTGGTGCCCCAGGCAACTCCCAAAGACTTTAAATTATAGTAAAAATTCCAAATTTCCTTAGAAGAAGACGTTTCTACACTGAGGGCTCCTGACACTGATGAAATCTCATGTTCAGAACAAAACAAGAATCACAATTATACTAACTCCTTCACAAGGCTAACTGCTCATAAGTTCAGAGATTTAGAAGAGGAAGGGAGCTTATGGTCATCCAGTCCAGTTCCCTCCTTTTTTCCCCTCATGAGATCAGATGGGATCATGGATCTGTATTACTTTGTAATTTTGAACAACCATATAAATGCATTATTATTCTTAGCTCCACCACCACCACCGTCATCATCGATTTCATTGATCATCATGGGCATTTAAATAGGATAAGCTTTGAGGCAACGGAAAGTTAGCTATCCTTCGTCTTCTGAGCTCCAACTTGTTTGTGCAATGATAATAATCCTGGGCACTTGCATTATACCTTCCTCTGAGGTGCTCTAAGTGCGTCACAAAGAGCAATTAATTAAGCATTACAAAGCACTTGGGGAGTAAATATTATTATGCATCTCGTGGCAATGGGAAGTCAGGCCCAGGGAAGTAAGAAGACTGAGATATGCTAGTTGGTTGGACCTGAGCCTTCAGCTCCAGCTTTCCGGTTTTTCTTGTTGGGTCCTAGATACTATTTCTTCTTCTTTAAATTTTTTCTTAACTGATAAATTTTGTTTTTATTTTGCCTATATTTCCTCACTTATATGCCTCTCCCCAACCCCTGCCAGATCTCAGCACCATGTCTAAACAGAACTGATAAAGCAGAAACACTGTAAACAATTATTAGACCATTTCCAGACTGTTCTGGGAATTTGTAGAAATTCATAGGTAATTGGTCAGTGAGGAATAACTGGAAACTTTCTTTTGATATTTTTAATGGGTGGCAGTTGGCTTAGTGAAGAGTGTCCTGGATTGAGAATGAGGACACCTGCATTGGAGTGTCAGTTCTCTCACTAATTAGCTCTATAATTGTTGGTTATTCAATTCAACCAACATCTATTAGTCTTTTTCCTCACTTAAGTCTCAGCTTCCTCGCCTGTTAAAAATGAGTGGATTATGTTTGGTCAGGTCTCAAGGAATATCTACTAAATTGTGACAGATTTCTGATTTGCATTGGTGGAAGGAGTTTGCACACTGATGAAATCCTTGAAGTCACTTTAATAATAATCATAACAACAACAATAATAGCTTTATTGAAGACCAAAAATAGATCCTAGATTTCTGCCTCAACAGCTAAAAGAGAAAGCTTATTTTCTTCTTCAGTAATTGGTGACAGTGAGCTATTGCAGAGTTTAATTCATTTATACTAAATATACAGGAAGCACATGTCTTATGACTTCTGAATGCTAAGCTAAATCCTTTACAAGTCCTGGGCAATTGTGGCTTTTCAATGATCTGGACACGTTCTGATGTAAATTTTACTTTGCTGTGGGTTTCCACCATGTATGCCTGTTGGTGAGAGGCACATATGCAGGAGCCCCTGAAGTGATGATGCTCATGCAGATGTCATCTCCTCTGGGATTCTAACCCCAGGGTGCCCCATGCGTCAGGGTGTGCCAAACGAATTAGCAGAGGAAAGAGCAGGAGCACTGGGAAAGAGCTTATTATTCCAGCTGAGCCATGCATCGAGAGCTTTAAAGAAGAAGAAAAGAGAAGAGGGGGAAAAGGAAAGACAGGATCAGCTGCCTGGAGCCTGGGGTACAGGGAATATTGAAAGTAGTACTGGTCACAGCATTGCGTTGTAAGAGAAAGCGCTGGGCTGGAAGTTCGGAGACCCACATTCACTTCTTGCTCTGACACTAACTTACAGTGGGATATTGAGCAAGGCATATCACCACCTTGAAACTCGGTTTCTTCAACAGCAAAATGAGGGAGTTGGATTAGATGATTTCTAAAGTGTCTTTCAGAGCCGATATTGTATGCTTTTATCCAGATCTAACAATTTGGATTCTAAAGACCCACCCAGTGCTAACATGCCCTAGGGTTCCTTTCACCTATGTCCTTTAAGGTCACCTCCAGCTCAGGCATTCTGTGTTCCAAGGTCCTCTACAGTTCTGACATTCTATGTTCTAAGGTCCCCTGCTGCTCAGATGTTCTATGTTCTAAGGTCCTCTCCGGTTTTGACATTCTATGTTCTAAGATCACCTCCAGCTCTGACATTCTATGTTCCAAGGT